ACAAATGATAAGAGATTATTATTCATTATTTATTACAATCATTTTCTATTTTTCTCTAATATTTATGTCAATTTTTAATCTTGATTCTTTCAAAAGAAAAAGAAAATCTCATCGACAGTGTCATTTTGAAATATGTCATCATTGTCTTTACGTTGAACTTTTTCAAAGTAAATAACTATAACCTTGTACTTCCACTACTGTATTTATATAAACATGATTCGTCGTACACAAATTTGTCCTTTAAGTGGGTACACACAATGTTTACATTTTCATATCAAAATAAAAAAAATTTACTCTAAAATATTGTTAATTTATGAGACATAAACTCAATATAAGTAATACTTTATCGAACAATAAGTAAATGTATAGTAACATTTAAAGTTATGTGTACCTTGAGGTATAATTGAAAGTTCTATTTTTTTCATATAAGGATACTCGAATAAATGAAAAAAATTAACGATATTTTTTCTTTTACAATTCTGCCAAGTTTTACCTTTTTTTTTTTCTTTTTTTTTTCTGTCGTACTTATTGTTATTGACACGGTTACACGTTTCTAACGTTTTTGCTCTTAGTTTTGATGGCATAAACACTCGCTCGAGAACGTTCGTTCTGTTAATGTTATTCTCGACAATATAATTTACAAGTATGTTTTTAAAAAAAAAAGAAAAAGAATTGAGCTCCTTTTTTTGTTGTTTTTTAATGAAAACTTTTTATTTTTACAATACTTCGATTTCCACAGGTTTTTTTCCTCCGGTATGAAGAAACACATATTAGATTTAACTATAATAAGGTTGGCTTTTTTTTGTGTTCACAATAAATGATAAATGTCTATATTGTGTTTTTTTTTAAAACATAAATTATGCATGATTTTACTTCGATAAAACAAATCCATGATACGTAAATCGTTTTTTTTTCTCTTCAGACAGTTTTACAATTTCGTCTTTTTTTTTCTCGTGATATCTTGATATCAGTAATAAATAACAATGAATGACTATTTGAAAATGCAGAAATAAAATATTGATATACTATCGTATTATGAGCATCATATAATCAACGAAAGCAAAATACGACAGCAGTATACCTGCTATTATAGATATTTTTCATAGAATAGAACAAAATATTTACATTTGAAACAAATAGTTCTATATAATATGACACACAAAAAAAAAAGAAGTGTTGGTAATTTAAAAAATGTCATAATAACAAACCCACACAGAAAAAGTCAATGTTTATTTTAATTGTCACATGAGTATTGAGCGTGTGTGTGTGTGTGTCTATGGACGAACCGAATACAAAAAAAAAATGACTTTGATGTCAAACAATCAAGAAGATGAATACGTCGCAATTGTAATTTGTATACATGAAAAAGATTCAGCAATATACGTATACAAGGAAAAAACCTATGAAGGCAAGGTTATTTAGAAACGTTTTTTACGATAATGCAAAAATAATTTGTTATTTTCATATTTTTTTTTTGTCTGTATTACGCATTCAACTATACTTATTCGTGAAATGATATGATCTACATGTCTGTAAAACAAGACAATTAATAAGAAAAAAATTTGTTAAATGTCTGTGTTTTATTTTAAACTACAAAAGCAAATATGTGTAAGAATAACTTTTATAAGCATAAATATTCAATATGAGATGACATTGGATAATATGTCCTTCCATTTTTTTTTTGTCAACGTGGATTGCATCACTTAGTTGAAATTAGAATGCTTAAAAGAATATCTTCAAATAAGATTTTTTTTTACATTTATTTTAGATTTTTTTTTCTTTTCTTTGTCGTTCGAGTACTTAATAATATCGGAAAGAAAAAAAAATTCAGCCGTGTTTGTTGTCGATCATAATCATCGAGACTGGCATGAAGAATAACGTAAAAAAAAAGTAAAACAACAAAAAAAAAAAAGGTGAGTACGTCATAGAATATTCCATTTCATTAATCACAAAAACTAAATTCAAATAAGAACGAAAACGAATATATAGATATAAGATTATATTCGTTTAGATAAGTTCTCTATTTTTCATGTACTCAGTATGCATTTCTTTTTTTTTTTTTGGTTCAATTCGATAGAAAATATTTGATTGAAGAAAACCAACGTAGACGTGTTTTTGAAATACTTCAATTGATCAAAAAAAATATTGACTTTTTTTACAATTCAATTGTTTTAGTACAATCAGCCGAGCGATTTTTTTTTTAACGTTGAATTATGTCTTTGACATATACGCATCGTAACAACCGTGACATTGCAATATTTTTTTTCTTCTTTTCTCTACTAAAATGATTTCTTAAGGAGATATTTGATTATGCCGATATCATGAAATTTTGACAGAAAAGTAAGAAAAAAAAAGTAAAAGAAATCAAATAAAAATGAAAAAAACAACTTTTCAAGTTATCATTTTTATGTATGACTAGCACATAAGTATTTGTTTTCGCCTAAAACAAAATTTTTGTTTCCTTGTGCTTTCATAGATATTTGCTTACATTTTAAGTATGTTTTTGTAAAACCATTTTCGTTAGAACATATCGATGAAATAAATAGAATAGAATTTTCGCGACGATATATATAGTTAACTAATGTATATATATGATACGCAAACATTTGCTAAAGTAATATATATGTATAGTCATTTGATCTTCGATATTAGTCTTTTTTTTTCTCTTCTAGGTGAATAAAAAACAAACATAATTGGTTTCCTCTATTTTCTTCCTTTATTAATCATTTTAAATGGGTAATTGTACTGCTGTACCAACATTTCGTCGAACTTATCATGTTGCAAAAAAACATAATGAGAATAATATACAACGTTCAACAGCCGAACGTGAAACTTATAAAGTTTATTATAATTCTTCGCCAGATGTTGAATCATCTGTGTGGATTGCACTAAAACATCGACGAAAATATACACCAAAAACAAATCATATAAAAACAACACGTTATAATATTTTAACTTTTCTACCTAAAAATCTTTTTGAACAATTTCATCGTGTAGCTAATGTTTATTTTGCTATTTTAATTGGTCTCAATTGGGTACCGATTATTAATGCTATTTCTAAAGTGGTAAATATAAGTTTTATTTTTTTTAAAAAATATGATGATGAAAAAAGTCTTATTCAAATATTTTTTTTTTAGGTTGCTTTTATACCATTGACAGTTATTTTAACAATTACAGCTATTAAAGATCTTGTTGAAGATTTAAAACGATGGCGAAGTGATGTAAAAATAAATAAACAAATAGCTGAAGTTTATGATAAGTAATGTTCTACTAAAAAGAGTTGTTTTTTTTTCTTCATGTACATTATAAATCATTTTGTTTTTTTGTTTGTGTTAAATAGAACATCGAAACGATTTATTGAATGTAAATGGGAAGATTTAAGTGTTGGAAGTATAGTTCGAGTACGAACAAATCAAATAGTACCAGCTGATATTCTATTACTTTCTTCAACATCTTGTGAAAGTACATGTTATTTAGATACAGCTGCTATTGATGGTGAAACAAATCTTAAACAAAAAAGTATTCCATCTTGTTTTTTAAATTATTCAAAATCTGAAGAAATAAATTTTGAATTACAATGTGATCCACCAAATGATGATATTTATCATTTTTGTGGTCGAATTATTTTCTCATCAAATACACATATTTATCCATGTGATAATAATAATTTTCTTTTACGTGGTTGTGTATTAAGAATTACAGATTATATTGATGGACTTATTGTTTATGCTGGTAAGATTTATTTGTTTTGAATTAAATATATTTTAATTTAGTTTTTTGAATATTAAAAAAAAAAGGTAATGAAACAAAAATAATAAAATCATCTCGTCAAACAATATGTAAACATGCACTTATTGAAAGATATATTAATCGTGATGTACTTTTTTCAAGTTTAATATTAACTTCATTATGTTTAATTTCTGCTGGTTTATCTATACATTGGGATCGTTCATTTGGTCATCGATGGATCTATGTTCCGTTTATAGTAGATAATCCATTTGAAAGTGTTGCTGGTCGTTTTTTTATAAATACTTTACGTTTTATAATATTATTTCAAGTAATGGTTCCAATAGCATTATATGTTTCATTAGATCTTGTTCGTGTTTTACAAATGTATACAATTGGACGAGATAAACATTTAAAATATGAACATCCAATTAGTTGTCGAACATTTACAATAAATGAAGATCTTGGTCAAATAGGTTATGTATTTTCAGATAAAACAGGTACATTAACACAAAATAAACTTGTATTCAAAGCAATGTCAATTGGTGGTGTACTATATTCAGAACGGTATGATATTTAGATTGAATTTAAATATTTTTCTTCTATATAAAACTAATTGATATGACGGTCAGTATTAAATACTTAGATTGATAGATATTATTATCTCATAGATTTAATTGAAGTTTTACAAACATAAACTGGATCATTTTATTCAGAAAGATAATATTACGATATATGTTGAGAGAATGTAAAGAAGGGAAATATATGATGGGAAAATTTCCTTTACGAAAGAAGTTTTTTTAAGAGACACTATATTGTTGTCTCCTTAAAGTGGTACACGATTATGACAATCTATCTTGTTACACTAGATAGTATCCCTGATTTCCATGGCATTGTGTCGACATGTTCGCACATCACAAATATGAATACGTCAAACATTTTAGCCTTCAAATTAATTTTGTAAATAAATGTGTCCGTATGAGTATCAAACATTGAAAATTCTAAAGTTTCAACGATACGAATACATACAAGTGTACCTAATGTTCTTCATCACGAAGCTCTATTGTCATTTAATCTTTCACTTGAGTCGTACAAATTCTTATCCTAATTATAGCTACGAGCAATAAAATTCAATCGAAACTTCTGATATCTATTAAATAGCGTGTGTTGTCATTATCGTGCAAAAAACTTAGGAGATAAGGAAATATGAGTTAGTCCATTTTCGCCGATTTCAACAATGCCAAATGGATTCATAAGCGAAAACGAGTTTGGCTCAAATCAGATCGGTTCTATATATAACTATTTTATTTTTGTTAACTAGTTTATTATCAAATCGATTGATTACTATCTCAGTTAGGTGTCGGCATTGGTGGAGATGAAATGAAAACCCTCACCCACATCCTCAAGTCTATATTTATGTATTCTTTTAATTTTAGTTCTGAATTACCATCAGAAAATTCAATATTAATTCAACATTTTCTAACAGTACTTGCAATATGTAATACATCATTTCTTGTTCATGAACATCAAGAATTGCAGCATAAAGTTGATTATCAACCAAGATATGAAGGTGATAATGCTGATGATCTTGTACTTTGTCAAACAGCATCAAATTTTGGTGTTAGAATGATATCACGTTCTGCACAAAATATTATTGTTCGTTATATTAATTTAACAAATACAGATAAACAAGATATTGAATATGATATATTATGTTTATTACCATTTGATTCAACAAGAAAACGAATGTCAATTATTGTTCGATTAAATGATCAAATTTTTTTATTTATAAAAGGTGCTGAAACATCAATATGGCCACATTTAAGTAATCTTAATGAAACAAATATGAAAACAATTATTGAACAACATAGTTTAAATTTTTCTGAACAAGGTTATCGATCATTATTAGTTGCATATAGACAATTAACATTAAGAGAATTTGAAGATTGGTTTGAAAAATATCAACATGCAGCTAATTCACTTGAAAATCGTGATGAAGCTATATCAGATGTTGCAACTGAAATTGAACTTGATTTAATGTTAGCTGGTTTAACAGCTGTTGAAGATAAATTACAAGATGGTGTACCAAAAACTATTGCAACATTAAGATGTGCTGGAATTAAAATATGGCTTTTAACTGGTGATAAACAAGCAACAGCATTAAGTACTGCACAAGCTGCATCGTTAGTTAATATTCCTCAAACATTATCATCTGGAAATACTTCTATAATTCATGTTAGTTTTAACAAATTTTTTTTTCTTTTCAGAATAAATATTCTATTTTGATATTTTTATAGAATAATGCACCAGCAACAAAAGAATGGGATTTTAGTGCATCAGCACAAGCTCACTTAAGTCAATATACTCATATGATTTATTATAGTTCACAATTAATTGAAATCGATCAAAAATTAAGTATGCTTCATTATTGGTTTTGTTTTTAATTATTGTGAAACTCACATTTAACAGATGGACCGAAAGTTTTGAGACAAAACCTTTGTTTACTTTTTTGTCACTACCTTGAAAGTGCAACACCATAATCAAAAGCTACGGAATATGACCAAAATTTTATGCTCTTTCTGGATGTAGACTTATAAATTTTTTGAGACTAATGAAATGATTTTTTGAAAAATCCAACAAAATAGTTTGGACGGGAAATTTTTCTATATATTTTTGTACTTTTATTATTGCAATTCGAAAGTAAATGTTAACACTTTTTGTTTAAATATATCAGCTTGTAGAGTAGAAGTTACCTTACAAAATATACTAATAGAATTTCTTTACAGATGACTTCATTTTTCGTTTCTCTGAAATTCTCATTTTTGACAAAAATGTGTTTTATATAGAAAGAAACTCTTGGCAGAATGCCTATAGATTCACTTAAGTAAAAGCCACAGCTTAGTTCAATACAAAAATTTTGTAAAGAAATGTTCGCTCGACACAACAACGGACTTTAAAATTTTTGGGCACTTTCGAAAAAGAACTTATAGGGATTAGCATTAATTTTTTTGGGCCTTTAAAAAGAAATTCCTTCACTAGTCTCGAATAAAAATAGATAAAATTTGTCAGCCCATCTTTGGAAAGTGCACAATCTGCTGGTCCTAATTCATAGCTTTTGATTCTTCGGAAACACTTTCAAGGGAGCCAAAAATAAACAATTATTGAGTCTCAAAAATTCCAACCCATCCATTATCTTCGAAAACAATAGTGAGTGGATGTTTTGCAGCTGCCCCTTCTCTGTCACAGACCTTAGCAACCAAGATTAAAAGTCATTGAATACGCAGGCAAAAAAATGAGAGATTTGCACAATGAACAACATTGATTGAAATTTTAATATTAAACAGAGAAGCAATCAAAGGAAAAATGCAGAATTAAGTTATTAATATGTACGCTAGTATTACTGAAGTAATGATTTTTTTCTCTTATCATGGTCAGTGCTTCAATATCTATCTGTAACTGTATCAATTCGTGAGAAATATCATTATAGTCATTTATTAGTTCATCTATTTTCACTGCTGTCGTATATTTTTCTACTTTATCATATCATAAATACAATAGTGTTGCTATTTTAATGAAAAAGTCTTTATTATAATTTAATCGATGTTGTATTTAGTTTTATGCACTAAAGAATTCATAACAATTTAATCGTACAGAAAATAATTAAAAAAGTCGTTTTGATATTTTGTCAATAATATAAAGTATATTTCATTACGTAACAAAAAAAAATCTATATTCAATTATCTGCTAGATTATATGGAATATGTGACTTCCACATGTCATCTCAAGAGGGCTGCGCTAACAAACTTTTTTGAATTCATTATTTTTATAAATAGGTACTCGTAGTGGAGCTATTTCAGATGAAGTACGTACTAGTGAAACAATAACTCGAATGAGTGAAGTTATAACTGCACAAAAATTACCTGTCTCACTTGTTGTTACTGGTGATGATTTAAGTAAGACATTTTTTCCATAGATTTTTAGAAATGATTTATTTTTTTTTGAATCTATAAAGATACAATTCTTCGATATAAACCAAAAGAATTTATGAAAGCAGCATCACAATGTCAATCAGTAATATTTTGTCGAGTATCAGCAACACAAAAACGTGAACTTGTATCTGCTGCTAAATCAGTATTTAAACATCGAATATTAGCAATAGGTGATGGTGCAAATGATGTTGGAATGATTCGTGAATCTGATTGTGGTATTGCTGTTTATGGTCGTGAAGGTTCACAAGCAGTAGCTGCTGGTGATTTTGCAGTTGATCGTTTTGAATGTCTTCGTCGTCTTTTACTTGTTCATGGTGCTTGGTGTTTTACTCGAACAAGTGAATTAATTCTTTATACATTTATGCATAATTGTTCATATGTATTTGTTATATTTTATCATCAATTATATAATGGATATTCTGGTGTTGTTTCACTTCATTCTTTATGTAAGTTCTCTTATTATCATATACAAGAACAAGTTAACATATTACAAGAAGTTTTAGAGATAGAAATTCTACTATGATGAACATACTAATATTTGTTTTTATTATTTTCTGTAGACGTTCTTCTATACTCAAGTTTATTTACTGTTCTTCCACAAGTAATTATAGAAAATATTTTGTTTCCTGTTTTTATCTTTAGTTTAAAATATATATATAGTGTGCTGCTGCTCTATTCGATCAACATGTTCCAGCTGAACGAGCATTACATGAACCTCAATTATATAAATATACACTTCATGGAAGATGTTATCGAATGTGGTCATATTGGATAAATATTTTTGATGCTATATGGCAAAGTACAGTCATATTTTTTATTGCTTATTATACATATGAAAATCATGCAGATATTGATGCATTAGTATTTGGTTTTTCACTGGCATTCAGTATGACAATAACTTCAATGATACATGTTGTCTTACAAACAACACGCATTAATATACCATTGATAAGTTCAATATTATTAAGTTTTTTGATATTTCTTGGTTTTACATTAATATTTGATGGAACTTGTTTTGAATGTCTTAATGGACAAAGTCCATATTATGTATCTTATATAGCATTTCGTCAAGGTATATTTTGGTTCACAAATTTATTTACTATAATTATAGCTATGTTACCACGTTTTGTTGCTAAATGTATATATAATTCAACAAGGAATCCATTATTACGAAATAATCAACAAAATAATATTTCATCTTCAACACAGGATACTCATTTATGATTTTAAAACAAAAAAAAGCAAAAGATCTTGAAAATCAATAGAATTTATTTTGAATTGTTGATTGGGTGTAAATAATTAAAGTTGAAAACAATTGATAATATGTTGTGTATTTTTGAACCGGTGATATATAGAAGACAATAGATATTTATAAAAGTTAAAACTAGTCAAATAGTAGAAACATTTATATAAGAAAAGAAAAATCTTCAAATTGAATGAAATTTTTTTGTTTTGTTTTGATCTTTTCCCTGTGATTCATTGTTACGCCTTAATTGTCTTATTGTTTTGAACATATAATCATTATAAAATATGTTTGTTTTTATGATTTTATTTCTATTTTGCTTTTATTAATCGTTATTTTTTATGTTTGTCTTTATGACAGGTTTTTTTACTGCCTGTTTTATTTGATATGAAAAACAACAATCGAACATCTGTCGAGTCTATAAAATAAATATAATGTGATATTTTGTTATCTATTTTACATGTTGAACAAAAACGAATGGCTTTCGGTAAATATATTTGGTTTAAAAAAAGTGTAGAATTACATGATTAAAATCAAACTCGTGTAGTTAGTAGTCGTGTTAATCAGTATAAAACTTATGAATATCTATTTTTAAACGTGTCTGACATTTGAGTTATTAATCTATAGATTAATATATTTTCTTAATATTACAAGAAAAAAAAAACCAGCTGACAAGTATTCTTTTGCCAAAGTTAAAAATATTTATTGTTCAAGCTTTTGTGATAATTGGAAAAAAAGATTCTTATTTCAAATAGTGCAATGCAAGGGAGAAACATCGTACTTTTGTACTTTAAAGTACCTTAAAATACTTTAAAAGAGAGTCCGCTAGAAAACCGGGTAACATGGCTGGAGAAAATTTTGATTTTT